GCCCCCCCTGTTTTCTATTTTCATGATGAAAAAAAAAAAAAAACCTTTGCTATTTTTTAAAAGGCCAGGGCAGCAGATTCCCACTGTGACTACCAGCTAAGGAAATTGCTTTTTGAAGTGACTTTAATGGCTTGTTTGCTCTGATAACCAACACATACAATTAACCCATCATAACCCCAGGAGTCACGACTAAATTTTCGTTGTTTTTACCCTTTTGTTGTAGTTGTTGTTTGTAATCTGTATTAAGTAACTCTATATGCTTCTTTAATTGGCAGTGATTGACTCTATTTCAGGATAGCATATCCTCCACAAATGATACTTGTTCCTAATGCAAAACACATAGATCCTTAGCAATAAGCACCGTCATTACTGTAAGACTTTAAGTGAATTTGTCTTCTCTAATGGTTAACCTTGGGTAAATTCTGTCTAAGAGTAGACAATTCCAATCAGTGCCCGGTGAATTCAGAAACTCAGCTGTTGGAAGGTGGCTTCGGGCCTTGAAGTCACCCCGCTGTTTTGTGGCTGTATCCTATAAGCTAAGATGCTGGCCAGTGCCTTCTAAGAAACTTCTAAGAGCTTGATTGCTATTGTTGACTGTTGACTGACTTTCCCAAGCTGCTCACACTTGTGAGGAAAAACTAAACTTGTTCCTTCAGTGTTTGTAAATACCTAGATGAAGAACTCCAAAATGTGGATGTGTTACCCTTATTAATCTTGCATTGGCAGGAACTCAAGATCATTGTGTATCCTGATGGTGTAAAGAAACAATGTATGAGATTTGTTTATTGTTTTCTGTGGTTCTGATGCCATAAAGTCACTTCTGTCAAAATAATTCCCAAGAAACGTCTTCCTACCACCAGATTTTAAATGGGAGGTTGGGTCACACAAGAAGCATGGCCTTTTTTCCAGTGCAGACTTCGAGACTCTGTTGCTATTTCTCTTTTCAGCTTGGCAATACCAATAAACAAAAATGAAAAAATGCTCCGGTCACCCACTTCACCACTCTCTGACGCATGCAAACACAAATACTCCAGCGAGGACCTAACTTCTTCCAGCCGCCCTCATGGCAATGGGGTATTGACTTCTGCCTCTTCCAACAAAAAGCCGAAGGCTGACAGCCAGCTGCAGTCACACGCTGGAGACCTCACGGTTGGTTGATGCCCTTCCTTTCTAAGTGAACTTGAGTGAAATTCTGAGTCAGCCCACCACTCTGTCCCTTGCCGAGCACACTGTACACTCATGCTGGAGGTCCCTTGCTGAACTCCTGAAGGCATTTTTTGGGGAGATCTGGTGGAGGAAAAGTACTCCTCCTCCTATCTCCCCAAGGAATATGAAGCAAGAAGCCTGCCCAGTTGACATGCCAAGCCCCTTCTTATGAAGCCTCTTGGAACTATGTCAGGCCCCAGAGTAACAAAATCCCCAGAGAAGAAAATTAGGAGTTTTAAACCAGCCAGTTTCTGTGCTGAGAAAATGTCCTACCCAGACATGACTCACATGCCAACATTACAGGGCTGTCAACCCACTCTTGTCTGCCGTAGAATGGGGTTCTAATATCCCCCTTGACCATCCATACCAGGGTAGCTCTAACATTCTCCTGTGATTACCATGGAGGTGTTTTAGCTTTGGTGTGATCTTGGGCCAGTTGCTTAATCTCTCTGAGCCATTTCTTTACCTCAGCCCTTCTAGATATCACTGGCATTCCATTTAGTTCCTCCACACTCCTGCACTAGCCTCTAAGAACAGCATCTCCCTGGGGTATTCTGTAATTCCATACACTCTGCCTGAGTTCACCCAGGTCACTATGCCTGCCAAAACCAGTAAAGCTCTATGAGGCTAGAGAGAGAGAAGATTTAAGAATAGGACTATGCCCCAGGCTGTGGTGGTTTATAACCTTTAATCCCAGCACTGGAGACAGAGACAGGTAGGTCTCTGAGTTCTGAGTTTGAGGCCAGCCTGGACTACAGAACCAGTTACAGAACATCCAAGGCTATAGAGAGAAACTCTGTCTTTAAAAAAAAAAAATTAAACTATGCAAAGAAATAGAAATATCTTAAGGAGGGGCCAGTACTTAACATTTTTCCCATGGGTTTAAGATGCAAGAAAGTTGTCAGAAGGCTCTATGGGAGCCTGAGTCTTAGCACATCTCCAAATCATGTCTTCTCTGTCTGCACCCACATTTAGAAGTAATTATCTCTACTCCTAGGCAGGAAGAATTCAGAGAGACTCTTCTTGAGAAACATGGGACAAAAAAAGATATCTGTTCAGGTCTTAAAACGAAACCAGTTTTCTTTGCCCTCATATCCTGACACTGTGGTCATCTGTGGTGTGCTGAGAAGCAGAACCATTTTCTTATTCCGCTTGTTCATTCACCAAGCAGATGCTTTCTGAGAGTAAGTCCTTGTCCTAGGCCAGGCTCCATGCTGAGCTGATGTGTTGATCACTCAGTGCATCTGACTCTGCATCACCAAGAAGCTGTGAACCCAGCTGAGGAGAGAGTCTAGGACAGGGAATCTTATACACCCATAATCACACCCCTAAACACTGCCAGACATGCAAAGATGGTGCTCACAGTGAACTTGCATTTCTCTTACCTGGCTGGTACCAGGAGCAGCAAATCTCAGTGAAGCAGGATTTCTCGGCACTACTGGCATTTGGGGCTGTGTAACCCTTCATGGTCAGGGCAGTCCTGTGCACTGTAGGGTCAGTCCCAAGCAGCACCCCTGGCCTCCACTTCCTGCTGGGACAAAAGGCCAGGTAATAAATGGATGATGGCTTTGTGGTTCGCACCAGCTTGTCCCATCTGCTGATTATAATGGTCTCCATTATAGGGAGAACCCAGGTGTGGGCACTGTGTAAAGACATAGGCACAACTGGTTGCCAGTAATAATTTACTCATAGAAAGGGCCAGATTTGACCCACAAGCCATAGGTTGCCCCAGTGTACAATCTCTAAAAGGCAGGGCAGGTCACAGTGACATTCCCAGCACAAGAAACATGATGTCAAAGTTCCTAAGGAAGTCAGCACCAGCCCATGAGTCTGAGTGACAGAGAACATAGGAAGATAGCTGGAAGGTAGACAAAAGACCAACCTCCAAGGCTACCATGACAGCACTCCTGGTTGTTCCCACTTTATAGAGAGTTAAGAGGGCACCATTTAAGTGTCTCAAGAACAATTTTGGAAATTAAGCATCCAGTCTTCTTGATCATGTACAGCAGACTCTAACCCTTATATTGTACATGAACCTGGCCTATACCTAAAAAAGCATTTGTGTATATGTTCAACTACTTCAGAGGGAATAGTTTGTGTTTTATGAATAGACATATACTCTATTGCCCACGTGTCAGCCCACAGTGGGTGCTTTGTAACCTTGGGTAGTAGGACCTCTTTCAAATATTTTTAAATAATTGCTTTGCACTCTATTTTTATGAGATAGTGCCTGAGAAGCAGTCCATCTCTGACATGAATGGCAGCTCTTGGGAGGACCAGTTAGAGTGAGACAGGGGTAAAAGCTTGGCTTTGGGGCACCATCCGAGAATGTGGTAGAAATACAGATTCTCACAGGGAGTGTGATAGCACACTCCTGTAATCCTAGCTCTCACAGGGAGTATGATGGCACACTCCTGTAATCCTAGCTCTTACAAGGAGTATGATAGCACACTCCTGTAATCCTAGCTCTCACAGGGAGTGTGATAACACACTCCTGTTATCCTAGCTCTCACAGGGAGTGTGCTAACACACTCCTGTAATCCTAGCTCTCACAAGGAGTGTGATAACATACTCCTGTAATCCTAGCTTTCACAAGGAGTGTGATAACATACTGCTGTAATCCTAGCATTCAGTAAGCTGAGACAGTTCAAAATCAGCCTGAATGGCATATCAAACCTTATCTGGAAGGGTGGGCAGGGAAGCAGGAAGAGAAGAAGAAATAATGCAGATCCCTGAGACTACCCTAGATATACTAAAACAGAAACTAAGCCAGCAGTCTGTGTTTTAACAGGTCTCTGGGTGATTCTGATATATGTATAAATTGGGTAAAATAAAACCCAAGCCCTCACTCCAGGGTCTCCACCCACAGTTACTACTAGAACTTGAGAAAGTTGCCTAACCTGCCCACTCTTAGTTTCCCCATCCATGAGAGAAATGTAGGACCTCCCTTTTGATATTGTGAGAACAGCTTTTGACAACAGGTGCAGAAATCCTCAGCTTGAGACCTAGACACATACAGGCAGGGCACCCCTAATCCTAAGGGCTCCAAAATCTGAAACTTGAAGAACACCAACCTAATTCTGCAAATGGGTCATTCTACACCCAATCCCTATGATAGGTCAGAATCAAAAAGAATCACAAAACTGTTTTAAAATAAACTGCATATAGACAGATGGTGGTGGCACGTGCCTTTAATCCCAGCACTCGGGAGGCAGAGGCAGGTAGATCTCTGTGAGTTCAAGGCCAGCCTGGTCTACAAGAGCGAGTTCTAGGACAGCTAGGGCTACACATAGAAACCCTGTCTCAAAAAAAAAAGCAAAAAAAAACTACATGTAATTGTTTTAATGTATATGTAATTACTATATGTATATGGAGAAACACAGATGAGTTTCATACTTAGACCTGGATCCTTTTCCCCAAATATCCAATCGCTTGTGGTCCCCAGTATTTTGAATAAGTATACAGCCTGTATTACCTCTTCTTTATTGAAAAAAATCTAATATAGATCATTTCTAATCTAGAACAAGCAGTATTGTGCAGATAAAAAGTGTTATGTGCAGTAACTCTTTCAGCCACGTGGCCAGTGTCTCAGTGACTTCTGTGTTATTTGTTGTTTAGAAAGCAGCTCACAACAGTTCTGAAAATGGCATCCTCCATACCAAGTCACGGCCACAGACTGAGCCATGGTCTCCAGGTTCCAGTGGCCACAGGGACTGCAAGAGACAGAAACTGATCTTCGATGACATGTAAGTTTGGACCTCCTTGGTATGATGAGGAAGGAGTAAGTAAAAAGAAAGATCATTACCTCTCATTTACAATGAGGCTGTTTGCCTTTGAGTGATATGGCCATTTAAACGTTCCTCTCAAAGGAAGTTCTAACTTAGTGTGCAACCCTGAATAAACAGGATCCCCAGGGCTAATGGAGTTGACACCCAAGACCTCAGAAAACTGAGGCAAATTTCACTGAGGGATCTTATTTCTTTTAAAATTATGTGTGTATTTGTCTGGGTATGTGTACATGAGCATGGGTACTCAGGATCCCCTGTAGCTAGAGGTAATTAGCTGCCCAGTATGGGTACTGGAACCAAACCTAGTCCTCTGCAAGAGCAGAGCATGCCCTTAACTGTTAAGCTGTCTCTCCAGCCCCTCCAAGTGAGTCTCATTTCTAAGGCTATATATTATGGGGTGTTGGTGATTTTATGCTATCAGAAAAAAAAATCACTTTTGGTTTTGTACACTATAATAGCAAAAGAATAATGGTGATTTACTCCAGAAGGCTGTTTTCTCTTAAGCTATAGGTTCTTTGTTAACAGTATAAACAGGCCTTATGTAGAAAAAGCAGCCTGGCATACTTTGTCTACTTCTCCTGCCAAAACTTGAATGCATCTTACATGCCCATCATCAGAGGAAGGTGAACAAGAATGTCCAGCCATGCTCTTGGGAGGCTGAAAAATCACAGCCAGAAAGGCTGAGATGATGCTGAAGATGATTTAGTCTCCCAGGGAGAAAGCAGATCAAGAAACACCTAGAAGGAGGGGATAGTATGTCATGAGTTCAGCCTGAATCCTGCCTTCAGCTGTTGGCCGACCTGCAAACATTCCATGCATGTCCACTTGAGGCAGGATAAATGAAGTCTTCGGGGAACCTCGTGCAGGAGATCCCTGCCCTCTGCTGGCTTACATTCCAACTGCAGAGACAGACCACAAGCCATAAGCCCCTGGAAGTCAAAATACAAACTGGTCTCAACATCTCCCGCCCCCTTCTCAGAAGAAAATAATAATATCAGTGACTACTACTGTGCATCCCTCCTTGGGGGTATCACATAAGCAGCAGCAGTGTTTGGGTGTCATAGATAATAACAGAAGTATCAGACATTGGGATGCTCAAAATACCAAACATCTCCAGTATATAGTTTGGGAAGCATGATAAAGATAAGAAAGAAACAAGAATGTATGGGAAAATAAATTCAATGACTTCTCCAATGTTCAAAACTGAAGACCTATGCCAAGAAAGAGCAGTGACCCAATGACAGTAGCCATTCTGAAGTTTCTTGAACTTTTTATAGGGGGAAATGATTCTCCTTATGTTCCCTGTCTATACCAATGGAGGCTCTGCCTACTGGCAAGATGTGTAATTCTGGCTGTTGACAGTGCTGGAACAGTTTGTTCTGTTGGGGATATGGTACAGTGAAATAGAAAAGCACTCTTACATGCCCATTACATGGAGAGGTATGACCACTTGCTCAAAAATGATTTGAGCAACTGAAACAGCCACTGATCTAAGAAAGCTGTAGGAAGATTTTTAAAACCCAAAGGGCAAAGAACCAACATTGTCTCTTCCTTTAAGCCATAAAAATAGCTATCCCTCAAGAGATCAAAGTCACCTGACACATGCAAAATGCCTTACATGTCTAGCTGCTCTATTGAGCACTGACAAAGACTCAGGTAGAGGGCAACAGCTAGGGTATGATGATGGGTTCCTTCTCGGTTATTCTACAGAGTCAGGAGAGAGACGCATGAATGGGACCACTCCTGAGACTACTGTGACCACACCTCCTCCTCTTCCTATGTTCTCTCATCACCCTTCCTTCTTCCTGTCCTCTTTCTCCTACCCCACTTTTCTTCCTTCCCTTCTGTCATAATTTGTTTCAACTTGACACGCCTGGGGAAAGGAAACCTTAGTTAAGAAATTGTTTCCATGAGAATGGGGTGTGGATATGTCTCTGTGGCATTTTCTTGAGTGCCAGCTGGTGTGGGAGCCCAGCCCACTGTGGGTGGTACCATCCCTAGGCAGGCAACACAAATAAGCCTCTTCCTCCCCCAAGTGGCTTTTACTGCCCTCTTTTCCTTCCCTTCTCACTTCCTTTTCCTCCTCTTTCACCCTGACAACTTCTGCCTTGGCAGCCTCCTTGACCAAGAAAGTCCTCGGCTCCTGTCACTCTCGTTGGCTTATATTCACTGAGGGTGTCAACACTGAGATGAACCAAGAGGCTGCCAGGAGGAGAAGGGAGAGGGCCAGATCATTAGGACCAGAGCAACTGAGAAGTTGATGGAAAGCCAGTTAGAAAGATCCCAAAAGTAACAGATGCCAGGCTGTCATTTAGTTCTTAAAGCTGCGTCATGTAGCCTTAAAAAAGAAAGAAAGAAAGAAACTCATCCTTTTGTATTATAAATACTTGTTAATGGTTGAATAAACATGCAGTTCAGACAACAAGTGAATCCACCAGGCTGTCAAGAATGAGTACTGAATAAATACAGCTGCATTATAAATACCCTTCCCAGGGGAAGGCCTGGATTTTTCTTTTTCTTTTTTCCATGAACCTTTGTGAAAGTACATTTAAATCCACACTCTTCCACATCTTGTTTCCTGTGTTTCTTACCAATTAAGTGCCAGTTAGTGCTTTGGGGATGCAAATGAACTAAAGGGGATAGCACTTATTTTAAAACTGGGATCAAGGTCGGCTTGTTCTTGGTAATCTGCAAGTACAGACTAGCGGCAGTGTGAATGCCCTCCTCCCCTGACTTTCAGCAGAAGCCCGAAAAGCATGACAGTCACTACTCCACCGCCTCAGTAGGAAGGTGGCACTGGCATGATTAACAGACTTTTCTTGTAAAAGACAAAATCTGTGAGAATTTATGTCAAGGAGTGACAACACTTGCTTCGCCCCGCAGCTCAGATACGGTCTTATTAGTGCAAAGCCGTGAGCTATATATTATTTGGTGTCATAATTAGTGACAGGGGAGCTTTGGCCAAGGAAAATTGAGAGGGATCTGGGATGGGAAGCCTCGGTCCAGGAGTCCCGAATTCACGGAGCTAAGCGGTAAAAGGCTTGGCAAGAAATAAAGCCTGGCTCCCGCCAGCCATATTGCTATGTTGGAAGCCAGCGGGGCTGGAGGCCAGCACTGCCTGCTGCTTGCTGAAGGATGTGCTGTCCCCTGCCCATATTTCACATAGAAGAGGCAGTCACGACCAGAGCACTCAGCCAATCCACCAAATGTCCCATCTGTCCCCATGACGCCAATAATAGGAGCAGAGCTACCTAACCCTCCCAGCACTGAGTGAAGACTCCCTGGGACACACAGTACTGAAGGCCATTGAGCATGTAAAATGTGAGTGGGAGGAAGGGATGAGGACTTGACATTTGTAATGTAATTATGTGCAGCAGTCTCCTTGCTAAAAGGATTTTAATTTTATAGAGGATGGGAAGGAAGATTCCCGTATATGAGAGGTTGAATCTCCTGCAGCATGATTTAATCAAAGAAAACCAACTAGAATTTTTGCATAGGCCATAAGAGAGCCAGGCAAGGCACTGTTGGCCTGGGGAGACTCTTTCCTCCTTGCAAAACTGGACCCCACTTTTTGTTCTTAGGGAATTGTTTCCATCATGAATTCCCTTTCTCAGACTGAGCCCTTACTTTATTTTGACCAATGGAAAAACAAAAAGAGAAACTTGACATGGGAGGAGAACACCTCTGTTATTGAAATCTCTAGGCTTTGCTAAAATCGATCATTTTAAATATCCAACCCAGAGAGGAGGAGCACTGAGACTGATGATTTCCATTTCAATAAAACTTTCTTAAATGATTAAAATCTTGCCTCCCTTAGTCAGCACAACACGAAAAAATGTACTGTGGGTGCTGTAAGGAACATGAGGGAGGGCACTCCCCCTCCTGAGAAGCATTTAGGGTTCCAGTAGATGTCAAGACTATAGGAAGGAAAGCTGTTTTTGAATCCTTGCTGCTTAAACACTATCTCCCCGCATTCATGGGAGTGTGTGCAGACAGCCAGCAGCAGCCCCTGAGGGCCCCAGTCCCCAGACACCTCCGCCAACAGTGACTGCTGGAGGGGGGCAGGTGGCAGTTCTTGCCCGGCATGCACGAAGCCCTGTGTGTGCCACCCAGTTCTGCAAGCTAGCACTACAAAGCAGTTGTGTGTGAAAAAGAAGTATTTAACCCCTTATATGGTACATCTCCTTTTGGAGCCAGTACCTCAAGACTGGGGACACAGTAACACCCCTAGGGCACATCAACTGACATTGGGGGGTATCAGAAGAAAATTCATTTGATATCATTGTTGTTGCTGCTCTGTCTGATGTGGATTTCAGTTTCTCCACGCAAACCATCCAGATCTCTCCACACCTGGGGACCTGTTTGTTCAAACACAGTGAGCTCTCATCCCTGCCAGTTTGCACAAAACAGGCTTGCTCTTTGGAGGGACGGCCTTTCAAAGAGGTAGGAATTACAGAAAGCAGTGTGCCAGCCTCTCCGTGGGAGACCATTCATCTCTCTCTCTCCCTCAGCCACGAAGGAGAACAAAAAGCAAAGCCTGCTTCTAAAGCTCATGTGCTAGAAGACATGTCAGGTCACTCACACCCTGCAGTGGCTCAGAGCCAAGGCCATGTGTTTGTAGGTGGTGATGGTGGAAGAAAGGAAGAAAAGAAAATGTACCGTTTGGATCAAGTACACCGATTGCTTTTGTTAGCAGAGAACTCTTAGAACAAAGATGCACATGGCCGTTCTCTGGCACTGCCATCAGCCAGTTCTGATGTCTGGAGCACTGGGTGTAGTTCCGTTTACAATGTTTAATGGCACTCTTATTTGTATGTTCATGACCATCATAAAATACTATGAAAAATTACAGGAAGGGTATTACTGTGGAAGTTTAAAAACTCTAGATTTCCCTCATACAAACAGATTCCATGGAAAATCTATTTTACCCTGAGATGACTAGGTTTTATTTCAGAACCTTTGATATATTAGATTCTGTACCTGTGACAGCAGTGAGGGGCAATTTCATTTCTCCTTCTGACTTGTATATGGCTGTAGAAAGCAATGCCTTCAGGTTAGTATGTGTCCACAGCCACACTGGACAGTCTGAGTGAGTGACATCCCATTGGTCCCAATGACTTTATAATGGCCTGATTTAAGAGCATAGCAGTGGAAATCACCTGAGAGGAGAAAATGGGCCAATCTTCAGGCAATTTTCAGTGCTTAGTATAGTGAGCCCTCCATTATATGCAAAAAGGATTCTAACAAGCGTGTTTGTAAATGGTCCATAGATGGCACTGGGTTTTCTTTTAGCATGGCAGGTTACTGTTGTAGCTGCCAGGATCCGGTCAGAAAATTGGATGTGTTACTTACCTAAAGGCACTGCTGTGTGCCTGTGACTCAGCCTCCCTATCGGGTTTGAAAAATGCATTCATGTGCTGAAGATAAAAACAGCATTGATTGAAGAACATGTATTAGGGTCTATAAGCTACTGCCATCTCTAACTTAGAAAGCCTGTGAAATCTAAGATGCCATAACTTATAACCAAAAGAGGTGTCACCCCCCCCGCACACACACACACACTCCCCATGGGAATAAATGCATTTAAAATGACAATCTTTTAGTGTCGAAGTCTACAAAAACAGGACACAAAGAAAATGACCAAACTTAGATACTAGAGTGTAGAGCAGATAATGATGTAGAGAATTTCAAGTTGCCATGGAGACACTCTCCGGCTCATTGGCTATGATGCTGCACCCTCTCAGAAGGCACCACTCTTCCCTAGGCTCCAAAGAAATCCAGCACAATTCAAGGATTACTGTAGGCTGTGGAAGACCGAAAAGGTCAACAGCATGATTCCTGCTGAAGCCAGTAGCCAAGCTGCACAAATGCAGTGACTGTAGTCCTGTAAACTTGGTGGGTAACTAATTACCCATCAAGTATAGTATAGACGAGTTCTCTGCGACAATGAGAAGCATGGGTGACACTACTAGGAATAGTTCCTGGCAAGGATCAGAGTTCAGGGGAGTAATCTTTGGTTCATGGTAGGATCTGGTGAACACTCCGTGAGTGAGCAGAGAGCAGAGTATTACAGGCAGGGGAAAGGAAGAACAGAACTTCCAAACAGGAATGGTATGCCATCAAAACCAATGGAACCTTCCCAGATTTTACTCCACAAGTCCCAGGTGAATACCTAGCCTGAACTAAGATTTGACTCAGAAGTCCCAAAGATTGAATTTTGTACTGGAAACAAGACAATGACACAACAGAAACTGTGTTTTGGAAACACTGGTCAAGGAGTAAGGTTCCTGTTTGACTCTAAGGGAGTTGAACTATAAACCCCAGAGCTAGAGTTGATACAAGCAATTTGGTTGATATGTCTTTAAGAGAAGAGGAATTCTAAAACGGAAGCATGGACACATCTGGCAACAAGAGAGAACTTGTGAAAACTGTAAACTCTCCTCAAACTATAGGTTCTGGGATCTGAAGCCCAGGAGTTAATCTAGGCTTGGACTGGAGGTGAATTCTAATTGTCTGTGTTGGGATGCAAAGAGCAAACACGGCAGCTTGTATTTCCCTCTGATTCTGCAATGACAGATATGTGTCACGACTCAGCAGGATGCCATCGATGTTTGGATGTCATAACTCCAAACCCACAGGACCTCAACCATCTAGAAATGATCCCTAACCCATGGACTTCTGGTTGTCAACTCTGGCTTGTCACTTTTTTTTTTTTTTTCAAGACAAGGTTTCTCTGTGTAACAGCCCTGGCTGTCCTGGAACTCACTTTTGTAGACCAGGCTGGCCTTGAACTCACAGAAATCACCCTGCCTATGCCTCTCAAGTGCTGTGGGATTAAAGGCTTGTGCCACTACCACCTGGCTGGCTTATCACTTTTTAACAATTACATACACTTTAGTTCAGGACGTTGGTAATGAAGGAGGTTGTACATATATGGGCAGAGTATACATAGAAACTACATAGTTTCTGCTCAATTTTACTGTGAATCTAAAAAATAAAAAAAAAAAACCACTCTGAGAAATTTGTTTGAATGTGAAAGCGAACAGGGTAGTAACAATGAAAATTGCTAATGTAGCAATATATAGGCTGTGGATCGGTCAATATGTAGCCAAAGAAGGAGGCCCACTCTGTTAAGGCAACTGAAAAGCCTTTCGAGTGGAGGTGTGAGTCCCTGGGAGATGAAAAGCAAAGGTGAAGGGAGCTGACCTGTTTTACTGAGGAAACCTTCAGCCACAACTGAGACCCACCAAGGGGAGGAGAAGGCTATAGTAGCGAGAATGGTGAAGGAGCAATTGCCTAAAGACAGACAGTTACATTCAGGAAATCCTGCAGCTGTGTTGTCACGTCTTTGTGGTAACAAACCAACATGTCAGTCCCAGTATATTGCCATAACTCTAACAATATTTGTAGAGAAATAAGAGACAGGACATGAGATCCCTTCTTGTTGTTGTTGTTCCCATGGTTTTTGACCCAAACTAATTATTTGCTTTGATCCTGATTTGATTTCTTAGTTTGATTAATTAAATGCCACGTTTTAGTCAACCCACGTTCACTGTCATTGCACATTACTGTTTCTCTAAGCTTTCTGGTCTCTTTGAATAAAGGAATGTTCTGACTACCTGGTATTTCAATGAGGTAAAAGACCCATTAGAATCTAAAACAAGACAGTTTAAAATAAGCGTGTCATAATAGGTTAAACAGTCCATGACTGATGTCTCTGCTGACATCATATCCCCCGGCTGGTACCTGCTGTTTATGCATAGGTCAAGTTTATTGATCACATAACACACAGACTACAAAGAAGTTTATGCTGATGGCATCTAAAGGATGTAAAGGTTTTTTGTATTTTTTTTTAATAATCTATTAGACTAAGCATTTTAAAGGCACCAACTGATGAGTGGCCTAGTGTGACTTAGGGTTGTTATAAACATCCATAACTGTCTCAGGACAAATTACCTTCTTCTCCCAGAAGAATTGGCACTGGCCAGGATTATTGCTTTAATAATACACATGTCTAATGCTCCTGTTTACCAGCTAGCTAATCAGCACTCCAGAGGATACATGCCGTGTTTGCATTGTTACAAGGTAGACATCATTTTACAATTAACTTCATTACAACTGGAACATGATCATACTACATCACAGTCCTTCAGTCTTCACTGTGAGGCTTTAAGATAATTAACTATATGTGCATACAGCTCTAGTTACTATTTATGCATATAAACGATGTACTCCTAAGAATAGATAAATACTCTTCCCCATACATATCCATGAAACTATTACCAGATATATTTACAGTTTTTTTTTTCAGGTTAAAGGGGGATGGTTTTCTGTAGATACTATGCAAAATAAGATTTTTTACTTTTTTCTTAACCCATACAATAAAAAAAATCTTATTCACAAATTAGGCACTAAGGGACCACGTTAAAGCAACTATAAATATAGGCTATCTGCATGTATTGAGTGGGTTTTGAATTGCTAGTTTAGGAGAAAAATAATGTATTTTATGTACAGGCTGTAATTTGAAAGTGCAAAAAGTATACATGATTCTATATTAAAGCCAGGTTTTTAAATTGTGCTTTATGTTTGAATGAAAGAAAAGCATATTTTCAACAGATCTTGCACTTAAGCAATAATGGCATCTAATACTCTCTCCTTGTAGGCCTCGTAGTGCAGATTATTTTATGCAAGAAGCTAAACGGATGAAGCATAAAGCAGACGCGATGGTGAGACCCTTTTCTTTCCAGATTTGTTCATCCAAATTATGTTTGTGCTGCAGCTTCATCACTGGGGTAATATACCCGGGGTAATTATAAAATCTATTACAAGGATGGCTAGGCCTGCTAAATGGGAAAATGTTTATATAATCAAAGACTCATAGCCCAATAAATTATGACTTCACTCAGTAATGCCGAACTGGAAGAAAGCCCTGGATAAATGAATATTTCAATTTAGTCTTAAGGTTTGAATAGTAACCAGAGCCAGTGGAATCAGTGGGCGGAGCTATTAGAAAAAATTGAATTTGCATTTTCCTCTCTGGCTAATCTAGCTGGCTCTTCTTGGCCCAGTCCCACAAATCCCTTTTCAGGACAACTAGTTCCTGGTGTATATCTGCCCAAAAGAAGTGCATCCCCTGAAGTGTTCGATGTAGAAACCATCACCCATACTTAAAACCTTTAAGTCGCCATGATTTAATCTTTGCAAAAAATAACTTTTCTGATTTGGGTGATCTATTTCAGGCAAGAAATAGACTTTTGGTTTGTTGGTTTGGTTTTTAGATAATAAGGTGGTTCCCACCCTAAGGCCTCTTCCAAAAAGATGCCTTTCTTCCTAGAAATTCTAGTTTTCTTCCTCTCCAGAGTTCATAACAAAGATCAGTCAGGGGGCTGGAGATAAAGGTGGCATCTCAAATACCTTTCGGAATGTGATTCCAGTGGGGAAGATACATAAATCCTAGCAGTTGCTCTCCCAGTGTGCCTGACACAGCTCACCACACAGTTATTATCTGATGTCAACTGCCAGGGAACACTGGGGCAATGTGGAAATAGCAGTGAATATCAGAAAATAGAGAAGATTACAAGGGCCAGCCCTTGTCCACACAGCCCGACAATCCCAGGGTTTGGTGGAAAGTTGAGGTGACCCAAAGAAACTGGTGTTTGGCTCTCCCTCTCTCCAGTGCTGTTTTTAAAAAGAGAGAAAGGAAGGAAGGAAAGCAATAATGCATGGCCACTTTGGGGCAAAAACATAACACTTTTTTTTTTTCCCCGAGATTCTCTGTGTAGCTTTGGAGGCTATCCTGGCACTCAATCTGGAGACCAGGCCGGCCTTGAACTCACAGAGATCTGCCAGCCTCTGCCTCCCAAGTGCTGGGATTAAAGGCGTGCGCCACCAACTCCCGGCCTATAACACTTTTAAATATGGTGAGATTTGCTACCTGAAGCCATCATCCACGGCTTCCTGGCTCTTTTCATTTAGTGCCATCTTGCCCAACTCTAACTTCCCTGTCCCTTGGCAGCCTCTCATCATACCCTGCTTATGCTGCCTACACGTCTATCCATCTGCAGAGCTTAACGCTCTCGATGTCTCTCCCAGGTATACCCACACCCTCAATGCCCTCCCCAAATCCAGCCAAATAATGCAGTTCCTCCCACTACCACCTCAGTCTCCTCTCTGAGATTTCCCTGACTCTCTGCAGCCCCCTCCGTCACTCTCTCCTCTCTCCAGTTTTCTTACATCAGACTCCTCCATTTGTAGTCTGTCAATCATCGGCTGCCTGGCATATTGAACTAGTTTACGGTATGCAGTTTCCACTCTCCAAATGTCTTATGTGTCCCTGGAAGGAGCTTTTGTATATCAAGTACACACACCCCAAAATTAAGTGCTTTATGACGAAATCAGTTCCTTAACTTGACAGTATTGCCCCCACAATGCGGTGGTATAGCCTGTATGACTTACTAAGTGTTAACTTGATTTATTAATGAGTAAGAGTTTTGCTATGTATTCATTTTCAAAGATATCATTGTTAAAAGAAGTTGGGGGTTTATTTTTATGTTTATTTGAGTGGTAGTTAAGAGAATAGTTAAGAGTAGGTATGTGAATTTTTCTTTGATTAACAAATCATGGGAAAACAGAGGTGATTTTACAAGGTGAGAATATGTGATTTTTTTTTCTAGAGCAGCAGTCAGTGTCTAGAGCCAGAACCTCCATACATAGTTCCAGACCTGGGAGAAATCAGGACAGCACATCTGACTCGTGTGCATTTAGACAGTGTAGAGAACCCTAGAGGTTGTTCTTGTGACTGGTTTTCAGCTCTGGGTCTCAGAGCCTTAAGTTAATCTCCACTCCTTCCCTTCTCAGTCTTCTTCCCTTTAGTAAGGCCCCCGTTAACAATGATGCCCAAGAGGGTGAACATGGAAGGGTATAAGTCACAAATAGCATACGAGACAGTAATCAAGGCCCTGAACTATCATTTTTGATGGGGCACAAAAGCCCATGTATAGAACCAGGCATGTGAACTTTGGCACATTTAGCACCGTAGGAGAAGACAAGGAAGGAATTTGCCACATCACTGGGGAGAAGAAAACTGAAATTTGCAAAATTGAATGTGTCACGTGAATTGCCTCAAGCTAGTGGCAGTCAGAGAAAATGACCGGAAAGGATTTACACTAGGTCCCTTTTAAACAAGGGATGTGGACTCCAAGCCCAGAGAGCATGCCTTGTTCAAAGCTTTATGCACACTATATTCCATATACATGTATGTTTTGATACATGATTAAGCACAGAAATACACTAGCAGTAACTAGTAACTGATAATAATGTAGAGCAATTATAATAGAAAGCTATGATAGTAAAATGTATGAGCTCATTAATTGTTTATTTCTGGAATTTTGCTCCTAACATTTTCAGACCCTGTTGACCACAGGTACCTGAAATCATAGAAAATGGGCTATGAATGGCAGGGAGGGCTACATATCTATTTCTTTTTTTCTCTCAGCCCCATTTCACGGGATTTTAGACCTCAAAAGTTGGGTTTCTCAAAGCATATAAACTATGCGGTGCTCCCCCTTGTTTATATTTAAAAAAAAAAAAAAACCTTTTATTAAGGAAGACACCACTGATTCTGTTGGTCAGGTGGAGAAGTTTGGGAAAGCCTTGAACTATGCCGAAGCAGCCTTGTCCTTCATCGAGTGTGGAAATGCAATGGAGCAAGGCCCAATGGAATCCAAGTCTCCATACACCATGTACTCAGAGACGGTGGAGCTCATCAGGTAAGGTGCTTCCAGCAGGGGCATAGTGATGAGCAGGAAGGTCGTATCCATAAGTACATGTGCAGAATACTAAGAAAAGAATGTCAACCTGCAGTATCAGCCAGTGGGGACCAGTGTTGATTCCCAAAAATAAGAAAGGAGAGGGACTTACAACTTTCACACGGCATTCCTCCTTGTTTTCTGTGTGAGACAGGGCACCTCCTGCCCAAAGTCTTCTTGACTATCCAAGGGACATGTCCCCATGTCCCCTCAGCTAGGAAGTGGTAGGTGTTAAACTCGTTTAATCTCTAAGCTGCTTGAAAATAAAAAGTCCATAGGGAATAAAAGTGGAGATGTAAGTCTGTGGTAGACCAGTTAGTTGCCTGGCTTCACAGGCCGCTGGGTTTAGTCATCATCAATCAGATGAATACATTTATTCATTCATTCTTTTTCTCAAAAGTGGTAAGAAAAAGCAACAATAATAACTTCATTCTAAAAGGTGTAGTATACCTAAGTAGACATTTCTCAGAAGAAAACATATAAATGGACAATCAGTGTATCACTAAGCAACAAACAGGGAATTAAAACCACAGGCAGACCCTGATATGTAGTTTGTACTTATTCAATATTTGAAGTTAAGCTAAGTAACTAAGCCATGGGGTCTACAGTGAGCTTCAATGTCATGTCCTGTTTAAAGACCTTTGTGCAATAAAATTAACACATAAATCATAACCACAACAAAAGTCTATGAGACACACAGGATGCAGGTGTTCTATACACTATACCTGCGGATGCAGACCACCTTGCTCACAGAGAACATAGCTCAGAATGAGTGGTACCCTCTCACTGCCCAGAAAATGGAGACAAGGGTTTTCCTACCTGCAGAATGATTGCGGCTAATGATAAGGTATGTTTCAGAGTAGCTTCAAGAGAAGTTGGTTTGTTTGTTAACATTGTTACCAAAAAAATAGAAAGACTCCCCACTCCACCCCACCCCAGTATCACTAGAGACCCAGAATGAGAGGAAAAGAGAACAGGACAGTAAGAGTATCAGAAGACATGATGGCTGGAAATCATTGAACTTGTCAAAAGACAGGTTCAAAAGGCCAACTAGGATAACCTAAAGAAATTGCATGCCAAGTCACAACATAACAGCATGTGACAACAAAATCCAAAACCCTGCAAGCAGCCAGAGAAAAAAAGACATGTTGTCACTAATGAGACCGCTTTGAAGAACAGCGGTGGTCTACTCTCTGGGGCAGGAGCGGGTGTGCCGATCTTCAAATACGGAAAGAAGGGCGGGTTCAGCATTAGGTCAGGCTGAGGAAGATAGAAGCAATCGTGTCTAGCGGACATGAGTACAAAGGACAGAAGAATCCCTTGATTCCCTCTCATGTTCTCAGAGCATAAGGGAGGGTTGAAAGGGAGAAACACAAAAACAAATTTTATTTGGAAAATGCCATAATACAGCCTACTGATTTGTAAACTAATAAAAACAACTGAAATTTAAAAATACCTTTTTGAAAACTGAAAGAACTTCCTCAATAAAAAGAAATAGTGGAGGATGGAATTTCGGCAAGTCCGGGAGGAAAGAACAAAACTATAGCTGTGTACACACTAAACTGTTCCTCCCAGTGAGTTTTATAAACCATGTGTGATGGTCGAAACAAAGTTTATCCCATCATGTGGTACTCAAGGTAAAATTGCATAGAAGGGACAGTAAAGACTTTCATGCTTCAGCCCAGGTAAGACACTGATCCCATCAAACTGTAGGTCACACAGGCAGGGTTTTATCCAGGGGCAAGCTCTGGGGAAACTGCAGAGGCCTGCACTTGGAATCTATAGCCCTGTAGCAAGAAGATAGCATTACTGTTTCAGCCATTTCCAGCAAGCCAAGAACATCCCAAACTATCTGGGCTAACCTCTACACGCTCTGAGACTGATGCGTTAGTCTCGCTTTACAGATTAGGAAATAGACACTCAAGCATGTTACTACATCTGTCTGAACTCTGAGTAACTGAGATGGGGCTTTACCCTGGGACCCTCTCACCATTGCACAGCCGCCTCATCTCTCAAGGTTCTGAGCAGGTGAGCAGTTATTCCCCCTGAGAGGAAGCAGTGGCCACAGTCCTCCTTGGCTATGAAAGACGCTTGCTTCTCAAAACACTTTTCAGTACCCAGAAAAGTAGACATTAAAACATATTACAGCCAGCTATACTGTCATCAGATAAGAGTTACATATAACTAGGATAAAAGTAGGTTAAGCATCCACCTAAGTCCTGGGGTGAACATCACTTCCATTCTCAGTGACTCAGCTTAAGTTGAGGTGTAGGAAAATGGCTCTTGAGCTTGCAGCCCTCCTAAGAGTTTTTCCTGAGTCATGGAAAAGCAGAAAGTGGCACAACATCATAAAAGTCCTCTCCTTTTGGTCACCACAGCACTGCCATCAGCTAGCTGCTTTTTTTTTTTTTTTTTTTTTTTTTTTTTTTTTTTTTTTT